TAGATATCTTTATAAAGTTCTTTGACAGGAGTTCATTATCTACTAAATTCTCAGTAAATACAACTGCTATTTTGGAACTAATCTTTTAATGAGAATGGGCTAATTTCACACCAAGAACCACCTTTGCCTGTCATGATATAATAAACAATCTGATACTTCAGTACTGATGTATCAACATAAAGTAGTAAAAAGATAATTCAGTATGTCTGGGACTGACCATTGGTTAATTATTTAGAAAAATATAAAATGACAGCCATACTACACAGGCTTGAGCTCATTCAAGAAGGAATAAAACCTTATGTGTAAAGCCATGAAATCCATTTTTAAAACTTAAGTAAGGATACGTGTTTGTTAATCAGCCCTAAGAATAGGAAAGCTACTACAACAATGGAAGAAACCAAAAGTTAAAAGAAAGTTACAAATTCAAACACACAACCATTTTAAACTTCTTTGAAATTGGTTTAAGCTACTTAGGGCAAAGGACTCATGACTTAACACAGATATATATTGGATTTATGAAAGTCCAAATCAAAACATGTTTGTATACTAACCAACCAGTTACAGAAAAAAATAAGACATGCAAATAAGAAAAATACATGAACTTGTACAGTTGGATACCTACTTAAAATAACAGTAATGAACAAACATGCAAATAAGAAAAATACATGAACTTGTACAGTTGGATACCTACTTAAAATAACAGTAATGAACAACTTTTTGTTTGTGACGTCACTAAGGATGTTAAACAAGGGGTTAGACATTCTTAGCCCAGTGCTAGTGGTTCACACCTGTAATCCTAGCTTCTCAGGAGGCTGAGATCCAAGGATCACAGTTTAAGCCAGCCTGGGCATGAAAGTCAATGAAACTCTTATCTCTGGTAATCATGAAAAAGCTGGAAGTGGAGGTATGGCTTAAATAGAGTACCAGCCTTGAGCAAAAACAGAGAGAATGAGAACAGAGGCCCTAAATTCAAGCCTCGCCAACAACCCACCCCTAAGGGGGAAAAAAAAACCCAAACCCACAATTCTTTTATGAAAGAATGATGACATGAACAGTTTAAAATAGATATTTATTAACAGATGGGAGAAGCACTAGACAAGATCTTCCTAGCTTCTGGAATTTGTCCTAATGAAATTCCCAGTGATTTGAACACCTATGCATAGGGACACTTACTTGAGTCTATTTCAAATTACAAACAGCTTAAAGATGTTCCTTTGTAGTTAAAAGGTGTACTTTCAGCTAAGCCAGACAGTTAAATGATCAATTAGCAAGTGATAAATTGTGTCCACTGGAAGATACTAGATACACAATGTTTCTATGATTAGCGGTTAACCCATAGATGCAGTCTTATTCTGAAGTCATTTTCCTATTAGAATAAAGTAAATGTGTTCTTTCAAACACAGATATCTTTGGCAGATGTGGGTAAGCTCACTGGAAACAAACCTACCTGTAAAAAAAATTGAGACAATTATAAACTATGAAAATGTGAAATATAAGAAAAAAACACATTTTGTGTAAATTTGTTCTCCTACCCTAAATTCATTGTTGATAGATGTGCCCTTTCCTCTCTTGTTTCCAAGCCAGCTGTTGCTAAGTTACTGAGAAATACTTGGAAATGAAATGTTATTCCTTCACATTGATCTGAAAAGATCTTCTGCTTACTTTCAGTTTAAGTCCACAGTTTCTGACTCCCCTCACCTAGCCTCCGACTAGTGAGGCACATGTACTGTTTTTTTTTTTAATTCTTTAAAAAAGTTATTTTTCTCTCTCTTTCCCTCCTTCCCTCTCTCCCTGTATCCCTCCTTATCTCCCTTCCTTCCCCTCTGCTTACCTTTCCTTTCCCTTACCCCCATTTCCTTTCCCCCTTTCCCTTTCCCTTTCCCTTTCCTTTTCCCCTTCCCTTCCCTTCCTCTCTTCTTCCCTACCTTCCTCCCTCCCTTGCTTCCTTATCTTTCCTTTTTCTTTCTTTCCCTCCCTCTCTATTTCTCCCTGCTTTCCTTCCTTGCTGGCACCATCTCTATTTATTTATTATTTTTGTTTACTTATTTATAATAGAAGGATGTATTTATTCATAAATGAGAGGTAACTAGTGCCAGCATGCTTTAACCAGTTCTGACTGGCGATCCGTCCACACTTTGGAAAATGACAAAAAAGAAACAAGTCCCTTATTGCTTCATGCACACGAGGAATAACCCACTTGTGCAAAGAGGATTCCCATGCAGAGCAGAGATGATGGCAAAGAGGACTGCTCAGAAATGCAGGAGCATAAATTTGGCTAGGTTGGAAAGGACTAATGGGACTTAAGTGGAAACAGAGCCAGGTGCCAGTAGTTCAAACCCTGTAATCCTAGCTACTTGGGAAGCTGAGATGAGCAGGATAGTGGTTCAAGGCCAGTCAGGCAAAAAGTTCTTGAGATCCCACCTCAATCTATAACTGGGTGCAGTAGGTCATACTAGGGCATACCTATTGCCACAGCTACAGTGGGGGGTGGGGGGAGCTTCTTTTTGATAAGTAAATCAAGTAAGACCAGAAGTCAAGAAAATATTGACCATCTTTTCCTGACAGGATTTAGTAGTATTGAAGCCTAGTCTTAAGAATGTGCATAGACAATATAACTTACTGTTTTCCTTTTAGTTTGAAAATTACTAGCTTTTTACTGTCAAATTACAAGTGTATAATCACCTTTAACTACTCGAGAAGGACAGAGTCTAGAAAATAGCGGAGTTTTGTTGTTGTTGTCATTTTGGTTTTTGGTTGTTTTTTTTTTGGGTCCAGTCGTGGGGCCTGAACTCTGGGCCTGGGCGCTGTCCCTCAGCTCTTCAGCTCAAGGCTAGCACTCTACCACTTGAGCCACAGCACCAT